TACTCTCTCACATAATACGCCATACTCCCAAGAAACACTCTCTGTAGCAGTACACTATCTTTACACGTCAACAGGACCGGCGGATCCCCAGCTCCATCCCTACGCTTAAATCTGATCACATCAGTTACCTGGGCCCCTCTAAGATTTCCTTCTCAGATAAGCCAGCAAACACTCCATACACCACTCCCTTGATTCCTTGCTGGCTTCCTCTAGCCATGAGCCTCTTAAACCCCTCCTTCCCAACCCTAATCTAATTCTAATAATACTAGCCCTACTATTAATAAAAGAAAAAGTAAAAGAAAAAGTGTCTCAGGCTTGTTGTGTGGAAGCAGGCGTAGAACACGAGCACGTGTGCCAACTCCGCTTCTCTCAGCGTCTCTCAATCAATCAATCTCCAGCCAATCTCTGCTCTATTTCCTAAATCAAGCTCAATATTAGCTGTGATATTTTAGTAAGACAAAGTTAGATAGATTTTATTAAAAGTAGATTACTTTTAAGAATGCAAAACATACTTGACCAGATGGGACTTTTTAGAATAGTTTCCATTTATAATTTCCCAGAAGCAAGGCTTTTTACTGTCTCGAAATTCATTTTTTTGCAGTGTGTAGAAGCCATGCCCTCATAGTTCAGCTCCCCTCATTTTAAACAGCTGAGCCAGTATTCCCAGTATCTGGGTTAGGGTTATCTAATTGAAGGCAGCTTGATTAAGAAGCCAGACTTGATTGACTAGTTGTGGATCACATGTGTTGTTATCTCATCTATGCTTTCTGTCTTTCTAAACACATCTGTAAGCTACCATCAGATATCCTGCCTGGAAGAAAGGGGTTTTGGAATACCTAACCATGAGGTAAGTACTGGAAGATTTGACTAGTGCATGCTCTGTTTCACTACCAATTACAGATTATATTCCATAAACAGTGAGTCCTTTAGGTAGTTTGAGTGATATTTACTCAGCAATCCTTTGGTTGAATAAAGGATGGTGCAAGTAATCCACATGTGGTAGCCTATATTTTTCCAGTCATTTCAGATTCACTCATCTCATATTGCTGGAGATGTGGACTCACTGGACATGAAGACAATGTGACAGAGATTTGTATACACTGTAATTGTGCTAAACTAGGCTAAACATCTCACAAAATTACCTCTTTATTGAACATTCAGAGATGAAATTGATATTCATATTGATAATACCGATCACACGGCAGTATTTCAAATTGCAGGAACAATGTGACATATTATAACTTAACCTGATACCATAGGCTGGAAGAAGACTGGGCAGTTTAAGTTCAACTTTTGTTTAATAAGGAAGACTCATTTTTGTTTTTGTGGAGCACCTACAGTAGTTTCTATGAGTGCCTAAATTGAACCAAAAAAAAGTTCCAGTACCGTAAATCAACATAACCCTAACCCTAATTATTATAAGTTCATTTTCAGTGCTGTTTTCTTAGTATTTATGTAGTGAAGACACTGGGAGTATACTGTATCTGGCGTTAGTTCAGGGGCTATCACAGAGTTCACACCGGGGTGCCGGCCAGAACACCAACTTAAGGCCAATTAACTTTCAGAGGGTCCAAATGAAGAGGCAGGTGATGGATAGTGCAGGTGTTTAATACTCTCTTTTGCTGGCAATGAGGTCATGTGGTTTTCTATATCAAAAGAACAATAACAAATACACAAATGAATAAAGAATAAAGCTCTTAATCTCTAATAAACATAATAAAGGAGTACTGAAATTACTACATCTCCATTTGCCTCTAATTACCACTATAACAGTCCTGAAACACACTTCACCTGACTGACTAGCATATTAACACACATATAAACATCACATGGTAACATTTATGTAACGCTCACTGTAAACATTACACTAGCGATAACAATAACATAACACGTGACGTGACGTACACTCAATCAGAGGCAGGTGAGCTAAATGCTACAACTAGCTTAAACAGTGATCACATGGCAAGTGTGGAAGCTACACATCAGAACCACAGAAATAATCTATGGCTGCAGCAACGTAAACACAGTACATCTACAATATATCCGGACATACTCACTTTTCATCCACGCACAGACCACTTGCCGTGACGTTAATTAACTGCTAATCCCTCACTTTGCCGTCTCATCGGAGCACACACCTTTCTGACCAAGCTACATAACCAGCGCGGGGGTTCCTATATGAGCTGGCCAACACTACATCTATGAAACATCACACACTCAACATAATATGTCCCAACTTTGGGGTATTTTCTACAATTTAGCTAGCTTTTAACACATACAGAGATGCAGTTGTGTAGTTTTTTAGGAGGGGATCACCAACATTGCTGTACACAGGGTTTTAGAAATACTGAGGTCCAAAACTTTCTAGTTTTGGGACATTCATCAATAGTCATTTTTAGACAATTATTTCACACATTGTATTGTATACCCCTTGGAAAAAAATATCAGGTGACCTCCATGGTAGGTCCGGCCATGCTCACCAGGTGGCAGTCTTCAATTAGAAGTAAGGATACTCCTGGACAAAAATCAGTAGTGCCAGTACTGGCCCATTTCAGACACTGTTTTTTATCTTATGTTTAATACACAGAAGTTTGTTCACTGTGACAAGCTCCTAAAGGGCTCCCACTGTCTTACAATAGCAGTTCCAGCAACAGACGACCCATTCAAAATGGCCCTCTGGAGTGGAGTCAGATTCCAGAACACTCATCCCCCTGATAGTGTGATTTCATCATCAGGACAAGGCTCGTGTTTCCAAAGCAGGAGATGCTGCATGATACTATATAAGATGATGAAATGTCTGGAGTTTAAATGATGAACCAATAGATATGGTCAGCACTAGAATGTCATGTAATTCTAGTTCCACCACTCCAATACAGTGACACTTTGGAAGGTGCGCTTGTTTTGCTGTTTTAACAAGAGTTTGATAGATGGGAGGATCAATAACATTTTATCTCTGTGCATTCAGTATAGTTTGATTCTCTGTCTTTCAGCACCAGTTTTAATATGTTCTGCTGGTTATACAGTTGTCATGTGGTGGCAGGAATAGAATACCCCATCAAAATCCTCATGGCTTGCTGAATAGTAAAACATTTCTTGGGGAGGTGCGTACCTATGTTCCCCAGGTCCTATGTTCCCCAGGTTCTATGTTCCCCGCTTTGTATGGGAACCCTAACCCTAACCCTAACCTTAGCTGGGAACATAGGACCCGGGGAACATAGGGATGACCCCTCTTGGGGTGTATGATGTCTGGGCAATTCCTTGCCATCTTTACTAAACTAATAGGCATTTTTCACAGCAGGAATTTTGACATGAAATAGTAGGGTAATCACAGGTGTTAATAATTATATAGGTTATGTTCCATTTGGTGTAATTTGGATTTCCAGTGAGACATCGTGAACAATAGCAGCACTCTGAATCTGTTTGACTTTAACCTTGAAACAACCAATCAGAGCCAAGAAAGATAGTTGATTGTTTCATTCCCATCATCAATATTTGACACCTTGGGAATGAGACAATCAACTATTTTACAAATATCTGTTTTATCAGTGTCTCTGTGGCTTTATAGTTGGCACTAATGGATTTCCAATGAAACTACAATGAGAAACTTTCTAGGTATTCCTTCCCCCAAAACTAAAACCTCTTCTTGGTATTGCTACTGTATATCACTTTTATAATATAAAAATAATAAATTATTGCATGATGTATTTAGCTGACATCTAGTATTATTATATAGTGCTGCAGACTTTTTCAGCTTGGCATAGAGACATTAGGAGAATGAGGAACTGCTGAGTGATCGTGAGAGTTAGAGGAAATGAACGACACTTAGATATGACTAGAGAGGGCTATAAAGGGACACAGCTAGTCAGTTTTACACACATACATACACACAAAAACATTACACAACATGTACAAATACATAGCCAACAACAGACAGTTCATAGAGGTATTTTTGTATATGCAAGTTCAGTAAGTATTTTTTGCTGATATATTTGACTGTAGACCAGAGGACGGCTCATATAATGTGTTGCCATAAAATGCCACATAGCCTTGTTGTCACGATTCTAACAACAACAGTGTAACAATCAAGATGACAAAATGTGTTCCTTGTTCTTCTGAACTAATATTTATTCAGTCCTTTCTGAGTAAAAATAATGAAGTTTTCAGTTCTCCTTTCATTGCTACCGCAGCACTAGGAGGAAGTGAGGTGCTAGTTAACAGTGCTGTGAAAGACTGAGGGATAACACATTAAACTTGAACACTGTATTTTAGCATAAGCACAAACACACCTGTGATTTCCCTTTTAAAAATACAAAAAACATGATGACTGGATATATTTGCTACATTCATCAATCAATTGTCCATTGTGGGGAGTGAGCTATTTTAATAGTTTGGCAGTTCCCTTTTTTTGGGATGACTCAGAACATTTTGATGTGGCTTCCATTACGCTTCAGCTACCCTCCCCTGACCCAGATACTGCAAAATACACTTACTACTTCTATTACTACTGTACCGTAGTGCTGCTGCTACTGTTACAACTACTTCTACAGTACATGCGGTTTCCAAGTTTTTAGTCAATTTTAACATGTTCAGAGTTAAATATGACTGTATAATACTGCTGTTGGATAATACAACTAACAAAGTAACTGGTACAGAACTGCTTTCTGCCAGCCAGGAAATACAAGTATAACACCTGCTGCTGACACCTCCAACTCTTTATCTGAAGTAGTCTAAATAATTGTGTGAAGATGACTCATGACCGGTGTCATGAACTGTATTGTCCTTCACCCCCTAGCACACACGGACATACAGCCAGGCACCACTTGAACTGAAAACTATCCCCCCTCCACAGATACACAGACCTGTGTGAAGGAAAGGAGAAATCAGACAGAAATCAGAGCTATGCCACATAGAGACAGAAGCAAGGGTGAAGGGGGAGGTGTGAAAATGAGAATTTAAAAGAGCATGTGAACGAGAAGAGAACAGGAAGAGAGAAAAAAAACCTGTCTAGGAAATGAGAATACGAAGGCAGAAGTGCTGGGGCTTGTGTCAGTGACGTGGGAGCGAGTGGTGGAGGTGTGCAGGCAAGAATTGGTCTGACTGAGTACACAGCAAATATACTTGCGACATATAGTGGCGATTCAAGTTGATGAGAAGAGGCAGATTGTTAAGAAGCAAGTGAAACTTTGGGGGCTGACTGCAGCTGGAAAATGGGGTAAGTCATTTTGTAATACTAGCGATAATGCAAATGCACCTAAAACTTTTTTCTCCCACATTTTAATGTCCTGTGCATGAATAACTGAAAAAATGCAGAACACTACTGCTTCATATCAACTCTATGCTTGACTTCTAACTAGCTCTTCAGTTCTGCCTACATTTCCTGCTGTGTGCAAGGGTATGGTGCTTGTAGCAGGTGTTCTGCTCACGCGTAAAATGAAAATATCAGAGCTGGAGTATCAGTATTTGCTGTAGACAGAGCATGTTATTAAATCAACTTTAAGAACTAATGATTTTATGAAGTTAGCAGTCTATATCTCACCCACAGGTGAAATAATGTAGTCCATATTAGGCAGCATTGTTCTGAGAGCACAGGAAGTGGTCAACACATGAAAACCTGAACAAGGCAGGAAGTAAAGATTTCCCACAGGCTACAGACTTTGCAACAAGTCAATTGAAAATAACTCACTGTCACAATGCCGCATAGAGTTTAGAAATAAGTATCTGCAGTACTGCATTGCAACACCTAACAGCATATCTTCATAAAACAAATAAAAATGAACATAACTTAATCTTCCTTAACACTCAATCCCATGAATTAAACTCAAAAATAACTGTTGAAGTAATAACTCAGTTGTTACATTTGTGCAGTGTTTTAAGTATTGATGATACTCATTTTCTTTATGTTGACTTCATATCATCGCAAAATTGAGAAACTGTCACTGTGCTATAATGTTAACAGCTTAAGCAGCAGCAGTATTAATTAGAGTTGATCCACAGAAAATTAATTGGCTACCACTTACATTTTTGGGGAAGAGAAGCTGTTTGACACATTCTTTTTTTGAGAAATGCTGCTTGTTAATGCAAGTTACCTTAACAAATTTCACTACATTTATCTGAAAGTAAGCAAATGTATATAAATTTAAATTAAGCTAAAATTTTGTTGCTACAATATTAGAATCTCTGACAGAGGCCTCTCGGCTGCATAATAAGTACTTTTACTTTAATTACATTTTACATATAATACTTCAAGATACAAGACTTTTACTTGTAATAAAGTATTCTTACATTGTGGTACTTTTAAATCTTTTTTATTTGCATCTTTTACTTTTAAAATAAAGGATCTGAATACTTCTTGCATTACTGGTCAGGTCTACGACAAGTACAACACAATAGTTAATCTATATCCAATTGTGGAAGATCAGTGTTGAGTAGGGCTCTGTATCTGTTGACCTTTGTCAATGAGGGAACTGTACTCATACCAAAACCTTTTTCAGTACCTTGCTATGGGGAATGTAAATGTGTTTTTACAAGTTTCTCATACATAAGTTTTGTATTCATTAGTCACTAGGACTTACCCTAATCTACTACAGGTTACTCATTTTATGCCATTGATATTCCTATTACATAAAATGAGTAACCCTTATTGACTAACGAGTAAATATAATATGATACGATAATGGCTGTATCTTCAAACTACAAGGAGTTCTATCAAATGATTGGCATGATTTAAATTGATTCAACTGCAATTACAATAATATGTTCTTTAATCCAGTGTAAATTTTATATTTAACCATAGACAGTATAATTAAAAATGTCTGTAGTCTCCGTGAAATCACCCATGGGTTTCTGAAGAGCCGTTGTGAAGCTCAGTGTGGTCAGTGCTGGTCGTCACGATCTTGGCAGTCCTGACTCCGCCAACTCCGGGCTAATCAAAAATGGGCAAATAGGTGGAATAGCGTTGGTGGAGCTGACTGTGACAACATTCACCTGTCAGTCAAAGCAGATATCCCTTTAATTATGCATAACTCAATAAGCCTTAATATAATTTGAACAGGTGAGTTGTTGTATCATGAACAGAGAAATTAGCTATACAGACAAAAAAAAAGTTTTATACCAAGCTGTAACAAGTTTATTTTTGCTGTAAAGTTGGACATTTTAATATGGGGCCTTATTGAGATTGACTCACTGCTGGAGCCAGCCTCAAGTGGCCGTTAGAAGAACTGCAGTTTTTGTTACTTCAGTGTTTGCTTCATTTGCAGCCACAGAGGTTTCAGTTTGTATGTAACATGTCAAACGGATGTTCAACTGATTTTTGTGATTGCTTGTGTTTTTGTTTTTAAGAAAATGTGTCTACCAATTAAGGCATGATAAATATTTAGAATCAAAAAGGATTTTGTTTGTTTCCACCTCTAACAGAAAACATTCTGTGAGGCTTTTCCTTAACATACCTAATGTAGTCATTAGTCATTGAAAGAAGTCAAAGATCTCAAATATTAAATATTGTCATAAGCAGCCATATATGAGCTTTATCCAAATAAACTACAGTTAATTAGTAACTAAAAGTAAATAGACTGTAAAGTAAAATAGACTGTTAATTGAACTAGACATTCTTGGTACTTGACAACATCATTGTGTTCTACACCAAAAGAGCACTGAGGTTTGATACTGGTGTTGGGTAGGTCTTTCCTATAAGTAAAAACTGGTTAGCATGAGCAGTTTTAGCGACCATGCCTGAACAGATATAAAAGCTCGTCATCTGTCAGTCCAGACCACATTCTTAATAAATTGTTTTTGTTGCCAAACCATAATCATACCTGGACCATATTTTTAAAATGGTGGAATTGGACGTTAAAAATAAATTTAGCTGGTGATAAAGTTATATCCGTCCATCCACCCATCTAAACATGCTAATGCATAGTCTATAACAAGTGAGGGACAGGGTAAACCATAGACAGGTGACCACAAATCTCTGTGGGATGAATATTCATGGGTTACCTAGTTGTCCACATTATATTACTTCATCTCACACACTTATTTCATTGGTCTGCATTTCCTTCCACCCTATGGTCTTTTCTCGTACCCATCTCATCATGTCTCCCTCCAACAGTGAGTCCAGTATCTGCCAGGTGAGGGCGACAGTCATGCTGTATGACAACACCAACAAGCGATGGGTGCCTGCAGGATCTGACACTCAGCCGTCCTTAAGCCGTGTCCAGATCTATCACAACCCCCCGGCCAACACCTTCAGAGTGGTGGGCCGCAAAGTGCAGGCCGACCAGCAGGTACTAGACACTCACCTTCATGTGTTGTGGTTGTACACACATAGATCACAACCCAAAAGGGGTCACAGACCTGAGTGGGTCTAAAAAAAAAAAAAAATGCTAGCTATCTGGTATCTGACTTTAATTATGACCAAAAAAAGCGTACACTTATGTTTGTTAATGTGAAAACAGCCCATTTTGTATATTTTTGTATTTTTCCTCCTTAAATGCAGGGATGAAAATATGTGTATATATTATGTTAAAAAGTCATGGTGACATTGTATATGTGTTTACTAACTCATTTGAAAAATATACATTTGCTTGGTTCGAATTCTATAAAAGTGGGTTGTAACTTAATGACCATGGGAAAAAGTAGGTCCCAAGTTAAGAACTACTGGTCTTTGCAATACAATGTGCCAGCAGGTCCAACCCTCTGTACTTTTAGACTTTACTTTACATTTTCTGTGCTACTTTTGAACAATACAGCATCATCACCATCTAGTGGATTTTAGTTGCATTGTATTCTCTTCAAATTACAACCTCCACAACATGTATTACTTTTACAGTCTAATGCAAATATAAACTCACAAAGGATCATAACTTGGAACCAACTCACATGTGACCTATCTGCCTTTTGAATTGCATTAGTGTTCACCACTTTATAAGAGACTTAGACTTAGACTTAGAGACTTAGACTTCTCTTTATTGATCCCTTTAGGATGACTCCCTCAAGGAAATTGGATTTCCAGCAGCTTACAAAACACTTGTATAGAAAATAAAAGAGGTATAAAAAAATACAGTATAAGAAAGACAATAAACTCTTAGCTAAATATAGAAAGTAAACAATAAACAGTAAACAATAAACTCTTAGCTAAATATAGAAAGTAGAGATAAGACTAAAAAGTAAAATAAAATTCACTGAAAATAAAATCAAATAAAATAAATGTAGAGAACTGTATAGAGGATAAATATAGATAAATAAAGATAAATATTTAGGACTGTATATGGCATTGTGTTATTATACAGTGGATAAATGACATTAGCAGAAATTAGCAGTTAAGTTAAATTACTGCACTTGGTGGATTAAGTTATTGCACAAAAAAAGAAGAAGAGTGTCCAGGTGTGTATGAATAGATTATTATTGCACAGTGAGTGGCTACCACTCCTTCCCTTCTGTCCTCTTTACCCTATTTCCTCCTCCCCCCAAGTGAGGAGTTGTAGAGTGTGATGGCATGAGGGACAAAGGAGTTCCTGAGTCTGTTGGTCCTACACTTGGGAAGGAGCAGCCTTTCACTGAACAGGCTCCTCTGGTGTCTGATGACGGTGTGCAGGGGGTGGCTGACATTGTCACTAATGTCCAGCAGTTTGTCCAGTGTCCTCCTCTCTGCCACCGTCACCAGTGAGTCCAGCTTCATGCCGACCACAGAGCTAGCCCGCCTGATCAGTTTATCCAGTCTGGAGGTGTCCTTCTTGGATATGCTGCCCCCCCTAGCACACCACAGTGAGAGGACAGAGGACGCTGGGAACCACAGACTGATAAAACATCCACAGCAGTTTGCTGCAGATGTTGAAAGACCGCTATCTCCTAAGGTACAAGTACAACCTGCTTTGTGTCTTCCTGTACAGGTGGCTGGTGTGTGTTGTCCAGTCCAGTTTATTATCCAGCCACAGCCCGAGGTATTTGTATGATTGCACAGCCTCCACCTCAGCTCCCTCTAGCAGGACTGGTCGCGGTCTAGGTTTGGACCTCCCAAAGTCAATGACCTGCTCCTTCGTCTTGGTGTTGAGCTGTAGGTGGTTAGTGTGACACCAGAGAGCAAAGTCCCCCACCAGACTCCGATACTCTTCCTCTCTGTCACCCCTGATACACCCAACGATGGCTGTGTCATCTGTATGTGACACAGCTCCGAGTTGTAACAAAAGTCAGAGGTGTACAGGGTGAAGAGAAGAGGGGCCAGCACTGTGCCCTGGGGGGCTCCAGTGCTGCTGACCACAGTGTCAGACGTGGTGTCCTTCAGCCTGACGTACTGTGGCCTGTCAGTGAGGTAGCGACATTTCACCGAGACACACCCCCTTTTGGTCGTAATTTCAGCCGTCCCACTCGGGGCTCCTTAGAATACACAGAGCTAAACGAGGGCGCCCATATTGAGATGTATTTTCTTTGTATTTGTACTACGTTGGTCGTTTTAATGTCGATCTTAAATGCTCTTACACACTTTACATTGCTGCTTTAGTCCGGTCACCAATTTATGCATTGCACGGTGTTGCTGTGCGTGCAATACAATGTAAAGTTTTGTTTTCGAGCTGGTTTGCTAAATAGGCTAATGTAGCTAACAATAACACTAGCCTGCCACTGCCCCTGGTGGCCCCTGGAGGCCCCTGGTGGCCCCTGGTGGCTCAAGACAAACGCCACAGCACTTGTTGAGATTGAAATAGGCGAAAATGGGAAAATATTATGTAAATATTATATAAATGTAAGACTTGCAATAACAGAATTACTTGAAATGTTAGTGTTTCTGTAGAAAAACATTATTATTTCACATTGAGCTTGTTTAGATGAGCCACAAGCAATAATAAGACAGCTGCTGCACTGGTGGCGTCCATGTTCTTTCCGACTCGTAATGCCCAAAGACAACTGGAACGCTAGAAGTGGTACAAGCCAGACAATGACGTCAAGTTCTCGCGTCAGAGCAACTCGGGCAGCTTCCTCAGCTGTCCTCTGACCTGGTCTGTGTTGAGGTGGGGGAGGAGGAGGGGGGTGTTGTGGTGTCAGGGAGGAGGTGTGTAGAGGGAAGAAGGTGAGACGGCTGCCGTGAGGGTGGGAGTGGGGGGGGACAAGGGCTGGTTGAACCTGTTGAAGAAGTCATTCAGCTCGTTCGTCCTCTCCATTGTCCCCCCTGTAGCTCTGGTCTTTGTGTTGTGACCTGTGATGGTCCTCAGACCTTCCCAGACCTCCCTCATGTTGTTCTCCCTCAGCTTCTGCTCCACCTTTCTCCTGTAGCTGTCCTTCCCTCACACAGTGTTTCACTGTGCTGCCTTCATGGCCTCCCTGTCCTTGCTCCTGAAGGCAGCCTTCTTCTTGTTGAGGACAGCCTTGACTTCCCGCGTTAGCCATGGCTTGTTATTAGGGTAACAGCGGACAGTCTTGACAGGGGAGACCACGTCTGCGCAGAAGTTCAGGTAGTCTGTCAGACAGTGTGTCATCCCCTCTATGTCCACACCATGCGGGTTGATCAGCACATCCCAGACTGTGGTGTTGTAACAGTCTCTCAGGGCACTTTCCATCTCAGGGGACCACCTCCTGATGGTGCGAGTTGTCACAGGCTGTTTTTGGACCAGCCTCAGGGTGCTGTGTCTGCAGCCTTGCTGTGACGGAGTGGATCTTCTCACAGGCAGTGGCTGCGTCCGCTGTCAGAGGGATGTAAACACAGACGGTGTTCACGTGACTAAACTCCCTCTGCAGATAATAAAGATATGACCACCAAAGCCTCAAATCCTGAATACAGTGACTATCGCATACTTCGTGTTTGTGCCAGGTGGTGATCAACTGTCCTATTATCAAAGGGATGAAGTACAATCAGGCCACACCAAACTTCCACCAGTGGCGGGATCCCAAGCAGGTGTGGGGGCTGAACTTTGGCAGTAAAGAGGATGCTGCTCTCTTTGCCAGCTCCATGACGCATGCATTGGAGGCTCTCAGCGCACCGGCAGGCACAGGTAAACACTGCGATGCAGGAGGGCACATTAGATCCAGGTCAGACTGTGAAGTGTTTCTGTTACTCATGCTGTGATCTTTATATAGTGACAGTACCATAAACAAATCAAAGCTTGATTATGTCTGACTATTGATTGGAATGACAATTTTACAATTGTTTATCTTTTTGACATAGTCCTGCTATGTTAGCTATATTGCATATCATTTGAAAATACAGCCAATCCAGCAATACGTCAAATATTGTGCACAATAAGTGCACCAACTGTTATCTGCAGTCATTGACAAATGCAGGTCACCTTAACCATCACTGTAAACTACAATCAGATCTGTTTTCAGAAAATGATTTGCACTTGTTCATATAGAAACACCTAAAACACTGTCTGTGTGCTAATTTAGGCGGGTTTTCTCTGGACTACAACCCTGCTTGCATCTACTTTAGTTTAAGCAGTCTGGATTCAGTGGAGCACACTTGCCAATTACACCCAACAATCAACAATGTTTTTTCTCAGGTCCAGCTCACAATGAACCCTCTGCACAGGAGCTGGAAAACCAGAGAAGGTACTGTTCTTGATAAATGGCTCCAAACTAATGTTCACACACACACACACACACACACACACACACACACACACACACACACACACACATATATATATATATATATATATATATATATAATACTTAATAATTATCATGAATTATCCATACTCCTCTGTTCAGACTAGAGCGTCAGAAGCAAGAGCAGCAGGAGAGGGAACGCATGGAGAGAGAGAGGCAGGCCTCTGCTGCTGCACCTGCCCCTCCAGCTCCTCCAGCTCCTCCTGCCCCACCAGGCGCCCCTCCAGCACCCCCACCACCTCCAGGCCCGCCGCCTTCCTCAGGACCATGCCCACCTGCACCTCCACCACCTCCTCCTACTGGGGGCCTGGTCCCACCTGCACCACCCCCACCCCCTGCTGGAGGGAGTGGAGGTGGAGGGGGAGGGGGGAATGATCTAGCGGCAGCTCTGGCTGGAGCCAAACTGCGTAAAACAGTCAAGGTAAGGTGCAATATATATATATATATCTATATGTAATTAGCATGATGCACGTTTGCTCTAGTGTATAACACAGAAACAGATGTAAAGATGAAGCTTTGCACAAATGATGGAAAGTTTGTTGAACAAATTCATTTGAACAAAGTGACTGGAGGTGTTTATGTGTCCACAGGATGAAGAAGCCCCCAAACCAGCACCCTCATCTGGTGGAGGTGGAGGTGGAGGTGGAGGTGGAGGAGGGAATCTAATGGGAGAAATGAGTGCTATCCTTGCTAGGAGGTAATGTATCACTGAAGAGACATATAAGACAGTATGTGATGATCTGATATCGTCTATAATAACACTATTTTAACAGGAGGAAAGCTGCTGATAGCCCTGCTGCAAAAAAGGTAGAACCTCGCAATGTCTCCTCTCCGTCATGTCATGACATCCTCTCATTATTCTGTAATATTTGTAAAATGAGCAGTAAGATTTAAGATATGAGTGGATGATAACTTTGGAATGTCTATACATTACTACAGGAGGATTCCGACTCCTCAGTATCAAAAGTCTCAGGACCAGGAGGTGAGTAATGCCACTTTCACCGTAAATGTAACTTTTATTAAAAAAATGTTTTCCTTTTATTTAATTGCTGCTTTAACTTTCACTATTTCCTAACAGTAGTACATGAGAAATAATATTCCTCTGGCTTGTTCAGGCACTCTTAACCGCATTTGCATACACCTGTCCAGAATTAAAAGAACCAATCAGAGCCAGGAAAGATAGTTGAGTGCTTAGTCTCACTCCCATGGTGTCAAATACAGATGCTTTGGGACCCTATAAATGTAGGTATAAAAGTTAGCTACAGCAGCTTTAATTCATAGCCTATTACCAGGCATGCAGGGGATATAAAAGATTCTGATTCACCTCCAAGCAGGTATTAAGATGTCAGAAATAGCCTTACTGGAAGATACTGCAGCCCAAGCCTCTTTTTCTGTTTTACCATTGTCACTTGTGAGCAAACACTTCAGTAGAGTGTGCCTATTCTTGCTTCCACCTCGAGCACCATTGTTTTAGTTTCTTCATTCTTCAAATATTTGTGCTTCATGGCTGTGCCTCTGTGCTTCAGGAGCTGAAAAATATTGATATTTTATACAAAACTAAAACCCATCTGTTCAGTCTGGCTTTTATGTAGTGTTATATAGGTGTTTATATTTTATTTATCTTTTTATTTTACTCAATTTTTGTACTATATTATTATTATTATTATTATTACTATATTTATTTTTACTATAATTTTATTTTGTGTAGAATTTCATAATTGAATTTTGGTGTGCATTAGTCTCTAAATCCTTTTTATTTAACAATGTGTCTTGTCAGGTGCTTGTAAAACACTTTTGGTGGGTGCACAAAGGTGCTATACAAATAAAGTTATACGCCTTGAGGCAATGTATTTCCTTCTATAGAGATATGGGGGAGTGGCAGTATGCTAATTGAAAATAGTGGGTGTGTACCTGTCAATTAGAATGATCCTGATTCACTGACATATGGTGGTAAGAACAAAATAGGACATGGTTTGTTTATTATTTTTTTCAGTTTTTAAATAAACAAAAAATATTGTTCTAGTTAATGTTGTCTTTGTTGTCTTTGTCAACAACCAAAACACTGGCTTAATTTTAGAATAACATACCCTTAATATACAAATATTATATATAGTTTACTAACATATCTTCATCATTATCATTTTTTACACCACAACACAGTATAGTATGAAGACTTGAAATACATTTTAGAGTAAAACTGAGAGAAACTACAATAATGTTGGGTTTTTTCTTAAGGCGTGTCCTGTAATAATACATTTAATTATATTTCAGCAGAACTCAATGGAAAGTCCAAGGAAATATCTGCCACCATGCCAAGGTAAGACCCTGATCCATCCAGCCTTCTCAATCCGCATGATTAATCATTACATTACATTACATTACATTTCACAGACACCTACATATCTGCTACAAGATAACAACCTGAGCCATACATACAGATTCAAAAACCCAGTCATCAGCTGCCTTAAGGGATCTGTTTTTGCAACAGGATCAAATCAGTAACCAACAATCAAAGGGACTCCAGTCCAAGTCCCAGCTCATCCAATTCTCCCTCCTCCAGGTATCGTTCCCTTTTTGTGCCTGTCTGCTGCTAAAGTTCTCTCCTGTCCAGAGATGCTACTTATCTGTGTTCTCTGCTTTGTATGTTGCTATGAGCCGGTGAAACAAGCTCTGCGTCGGTGTTACTGCTGCTTTCGTCAGTGGAGTGCTGCTTGTAAATGACTCAGGACAACAAATAAACCACTCAACATTTGGTGGTTTCAGTCTGGCGCTGTTATTATAGCAAGAGACCGAAAAATGTTTCTAAGCTGCTGTGGTGAACCTCAGTCTTCTGCTTCAATGCAACATGTTTCCATTATGGAGCCCTGCAGCTGCGTTCATTACATTTCTCTCTTGACGGCATGAACATAACATGGGTGAGGTTTTGCTCATGAAGCCTGAATATGAGTAATATGTCCATATAGTGTTTGGATCAGTCCTCAGTCATTGTTTCATTTGTATTCTACATTTGTTCTACATCACACTTGTATAAGTTGCATACTCAGTATTTGACTATTTGTGATTTTACAAATCATGCTTGCAGGCCCTACCCCTTAAACCTGCAATAGGTAGGCTACATTTTATAAAAAAATAACATTGTGTCATATTTGCTGACATTTTACTGTGTTCTGACAATAGTACACAAGATTGATAATCTGTGAGAAAATCTGATTATTAAATTATTATATTATTTAAAAAATTCAGAGAAAGATATAAAGACACTTTGGGTTGGACACTCGAAGATAGTTGATAGTTAAGGCCATTTCCCAGGGTCCCAAAGCATCTGTGTTTGACACCTGGGAATGAGACTCAACTATCAATTAACTTTCTTGCCTCTGATTGGTTGCTTTTGTTCAGGCACAGTAGATTTTTGCAAATACCATTATGAGCACTAGAAGGAGCCAGAAGAACCAGATTTTTCCACAGATTATCTGTCTAATGTACTACTGTCAGAATATAGTGAAAGTGTCAGCAAATATGACAAAAGATATTTTCATAAAAATTACCTACTGCAGTTTTAAAATCAGATTTTCAGCGAAGACAAAGAAACTTTGCGTTTTCAGAAGATGTGCTGCTTCTTGTGGGCAGCTCTCTAGTGGTCTCAAGGAGTCTGTTTTGGCTAGGGGTAAACATGAATGTTTTTTATCTTAGGATGAAGGTGATGAAAAAGAACTCCGAGGCTACAGGAGGAGAAATTGATATGGAGCGATTTAAACAGGTTGGTTCCTCTGTATTTGAACATACAACAATAGGCTGCAACTCAACTAATAACGGTAAAGCTCTGTGTTATGACTTTTTCATAGCAGTATATTTTAGGATTTAGAGGCATCTAGCAGGGAAGTTTCAGATTGCAGTCATTTGAATACAGCTCAGCCTTCCAAGCGTTTAGGAGAAACTACAGTGTCTGCAAAAAACACAACAGGTCCTATTTACAGCCAGTGTTTGGTTGGACCATTCTGGGCTCGCACTACTGGTGGTTCAACATGGCGGACTCTACCAGCAGATAAAAACTAATAAACTTTTTGTCCAGGTTGCCACTATTGAGCCAAGTTATCTCATGGACATGGTGTCCCAGCCTTTTCCTTAAGGGACCCCTTTTCTAGCATTGAGTAGACTGACGACATTTGACAAAGTGACATATTTTATAGTGAACACACAATAACTTCGGGACGTTTAAGTAAAACGAGCAGTTTGGATGAATTTTCTGAATGAGCAGATGATTTTCTGTAAATATTACATCAGAGGTGGGTTTTCTGCAATTCTATGTCTGTATTGTGTATTTTTTATAATTTAACAATCATACATTTAAGCAAACAATTCCATTTACTTTTCTTTACAGACGAAATGCTGAGATATGGTCCTATAGTGTATATTTTTGTTACGTTTTCTCACATTTCTTAAAATCTTGTGCAGCTTTGGCAACTATTATTGGGGGTCCTGATCCCCAGGTTGGGAACCACTGATATAGAGTGTGTACTGAAATACTGATTTTAATTATGATTTGTCATGAAATGACTTACTGTATTGCATGTATCTGTGTGTCTGAAGGAAATCATTGAAGAAGTGAAAAAAGAACTTCAGAAAGTGAAGGACGAGATAATCAAAGGTAAGTTCTAACCAGTATGCTATCCGTTGGCATTAGTTCAACTACTGAAACTAGATTCTGTGTCGTGTCATTTTACAGGCTGTGGGGGGGAAGCTCATTAAGTATAACACTAAAGGGGGGATTGGTCATGTATTAAGGTCATGTGACTTCATGGCAACATTCAAAATTATGCTCATCCTTTGTGTCAAAATCCAAAATGGCAGTGTACATTAACAAAACCTGGCCGTGAATTAAAAGTTTTTATTTTTTTCATTTTTATTAGATTTTGGGTGGACTTTATTATAGAATATTTTTTTAAGGGTGATTTTATATGTTCTTGTTGAAAAATAATGAATTAAATTTTCATAACTTTGATAATCAGGCATTCAATGTCTGTATCCTGGAGGATATGGTTACTGGTAGAAAACAGATGTTTTGAGGCCTATACTCGACAGATAATCAGTAATAAAAAGGTGTAAAATATTGATTCATCTTTATTTTCCTCCTAAATGTGTATTATTGATTAGTTCACCACTGTTCACACACATTTAAAAAAGGGAACATTTTAGACCCTAAATAGGCAATATATCTCAGGAGCTACAATGTGCAAGTTGAAAAAATAAAGAAAGAAAGAAAGTAGAAAATAGCAATTACTAAATTTTCCAACACATTTATATGTGCTAGCCCATTTAAGGGATAAAGGGGATTATTGTTCAAAAAATTGTGTTATATATTACTCTGTTTTCTCTTCTAGCACTGATCCAGGAGCAGATAAGTGCGCAGCCAGTGGGTGAAGATTCCTGAAAGACTGAAGAATGAGAGAGAATAATGAATAGATGTGAATGTTTTATCATGCAATGCTCAGGAAATTTACACATTTGTCCCTGATAGAGATAGTTTTATTTTTACACAGTCCAGCATGTCTGGAATTTCTGTGCTACAGTTTCTTATTACACAGTACAGTATTATGCAGCTACCCATGATCCTTTCTCTTTTTGCATGTGAGAGGATACACATTGTATCTCAAACTGCAGTTTGCCTTTAACAGATTAATGTTTCATCTTCCAGTTTCAGTGGAACATCCTACGTCCGCCCTACAGTCATGCTTCCCTTGTGCCATGGTATGCATAACTATATAACAATAAATACACAATACAAAAAACAATAACATGAGATAATAAATGCTACCATGCAAGATTCTTGTCCCGTTGTGCTCATTTATGTACTCACATCTGCAGAAAAAGGATTGCTGTGCAATATTTTAATAATCTTACCCTGCTGGAAGAACTACTTTGTTAAAGTACTCAATTAAGAGTCAAAGTATTCCATTAAAAACCAAAATTAAGTACTAAAGAATTATTAGCAAAATATAATATGCATAATGGCCCCTCGGAGTGTTCAGAATTTTACATTATTGTTTTTATGTACTTAACTACAGAAACTACAAAACAATTTTGGGCCATAAAGATAGGATTTATTATTTTTATTCTAAGAACTTCAGACAGCTGATGTGTCACATATAAATGAGACTCTGCTTTGACAAGTAAAACGAAAGGCCTGTTCAAGCTGTTTATACTGTAAGATTGTACAGATAAAAAAACTGAAGAGTAAGACAGCAGGCCCATTTCTTTTTTTTACACCAGTGCTCACCTCGGCCCAATGGTATGAAAGTTAAATATCAAATATTTTTTTCTTTACTGTTTTAGTTGTAGTCAGATATTACAAAATGTAAAAAATATAATATATTAGTGGTTTAGAACAGGTTTGAGTCTCAGGGGCAGGGGATTTTCAGTTCACCTGTGAACAATATCTGGCTATAGTTTTTCATGTTTTGAATCGGAATTTGAATGAACATCACAAATAGTTTGGAAGTCCATCCTGGTCCAGTATCAACTTGTACAGTGTGATGTAGAAACTTGAAGACACCAGTGCACATCCACTGAGAATGGACTTTACAGTGAAGTAGGAGACATCTTGTGTCCAGCAGGAACACTTTACAAATGATCAACATTTGTATATTCAGAGATTCTGGAAGTTTTAATGAGGTAGGTGGAGTAGGGGACTTTTTAACGATTTTATTGGGGATATTAGGATTTTTTTGTGGAAATAACACATGATTAATCAAACTAGGTGGCAAGTAATTCCTAGCTTGCCATGCTTTCAAAGCTTTCAAAGCAGCTTCCCTAACACCAGTGATGGGCAATAACTTATTATTATTATATTACAGTCATATTTCCGAGTAACTAGTAGTGTTATCAATTATTAGTTATTAGCTTACATTCGGCAGCTGGAAATATTCCATTACTTTCATTTCTATAAACAAAACTGGATTATTTGAATCGTTTAAAGTCTGAATTCTGGGGAGAAAGGACACAATTAACAATTTTGTGGGGAGTAGCAGAGAAGAATTATAAATAGTAGTGTAACTAATTACTGTTGGCAGTGAGTATAAAGTAAAGTAATAACATTACTTTTGAAAAAAATAAGTAGCCCAACACTGGCCTTGTGATCGACAGTCGTGGTCCTATCTCTGCACTCAATCTTACTGATGAGTTTGCACCGTCTCGCCTGCAGGTGGCGGTGTGTGTACAGAGATCAGCCGCAGCCTATGTAGCCCGAGAAGAAGAGAATCCATGGTGTTTTCCTGGGTGGATGGCCTGCACTGGATCCAGCCTGTCAAAACTCAACTGAAACGAGAGCAGCGTGGGATAAAGTCAATGAAATGTGCGTTAAGTCTTGTTGTTCTCTCATTAAATGTAAAATCAATCGGATTATGATAACATAAATCGAGGAGCTTGTAACTCACAGCTAATAAGAATAGTTACCTGACTAACTTTAGCTCGCTATTAGCAAGGCTAACATACACCAGTAACCTACAAGAAGGCATCCGTAATGTAAGACAGAGTTTGCTAATAATAAACAAACTCTGGCGTTAGTCAAGCATTCGTTAGTACAGTTACGGCACAGTGATAAACTAAAGTATCGTATGAGAAGCATAACTTGTTCTTTCTGGCTGTAAACACTAACTTATTTATGTGATATTAAGCTTTAACGTTAATTAGCAAAGTTGTCTCAAAGTTGACATGTAACGTTATGTGGGCTAACGTTCAGTTATTCGAAGTCCGAACGTCTTTATTGTGTTCAGGCTCACTAAATATAACGTTAGGTCTATTGTCAGATGACAGTTATAAACTATATTGACAATGCCTGATATATTCTCCTGTAAACGGTTCGTTCAAAGTGTCTGTTTAGTAGAAAACACTTTCAACAGTAACAGTAGTCTGTTAGCATACAGCTAGCCACTGCTAACTAACGTTAAATGGCAGTCTACCTAACAGCCAACAACAACAACGACGATTAGCTACAAGTTAACGTTAGATAGTAACGTTATAATACTCTGATTTCATTGGTAAATCCGATTATTGGACTACATTTGCTAATCCTTAAACTACAAGTATCTGTAATGAACTTGAGCCATATATTTTAGTATTAAGTGTTCATTTCAAGTTGATACATCGACATAAATGAGCACCCGCAGCTTCAGTGTGACCCTCAGCTATCCACCAGTCACTCATTTGTCATGTGTGACAAAATTAGGAAGATAAGTGTGACCAGCATTACATTGAAATGTTTCTGAATTGTTTGAATATAACTTGGTGAGATGTGTGGCCCATTGGACAGCAGAGGGGAAAGAAAAGAACTACATTTTAGACTTTTGTTTTCACCGTTAAATCACAGTCACCATATCTGACTACAATCTGTTTTAATTCTTGATTACAGATCGGCAGCAGTTAGGCAATCCAGTCATCGCTGCATTTGTTGAATCAGGCAAGAATGGCAAATATTCTCATGTTGAAAGTTAAGATTAGCTGGTTATGTGTTTTATAATATTTTACATGGATCATCTTTGCACTAGACGCCAACCAATATATCGGCCAGCCGACATTATCGGCCAATGTTGGCCTTCTGCAGACATATTGGTGTCATATCACATGTTATCTCACATGTGCCGATATGGAAACTGTGTTTTTTTTCCCCGATAAAACCCATTTGCAGGCTGCCCTGTCAGTGTCAAATGATGAAGGTGGAGAAAAAGTTAGTTTTGAGCCCTGTACTTTAACTCTCATGCATCCTGCTTTAAACATATGCCTGAATTTCCTGTAGAATAAAATTGCACATTGCTTTTCTTTGTTTTAATATTGCCATTGTATCTCGGCCATCGGCAACCCTGCTCTCTAAACATCGACTTCGGCCATTGAAAATCCTATATCAGTTGACTACTAGTATATAACAATAAACAATTCTTGTGGTAATATATTGCTGTCACTGCAGAGTGCGCTTTGATTTACAATACTGTGACAAGCAGCACAGAGGAAGAGAGGAGAAGCAGCTCTCAGCAATATTTAATATGTTAAGTATATTTAACTAAAATTAGTTATTTGTTACCTTTGCAGTCGTATCAGTGCACAATACAGATAGAAAAGCTCTATTTTAATTCCAGCTCAAAAAATCCCTATATCAGCCATATTGGAAATCAATCAATTTTTCCCTTTTAAAATCGGCATTGGTCTCAAATATCCCATTGGTCGGGCTTTACTTTGGTTGGACAAAAAAAAGATATATACAGATTTCACCATGGGCTCTCAGAAGTAGTGACAAGCATTTTTCAGTATATTTAAACATTTAATAGAGGAGTGATTGATTAAATAATCACATATTAATGGATTATGAAAAAAATAATTAGTTGCAGCTCTGTTTGCTGTTTTGATGTTTTAAGTATATAATTCCATGATGACGTTGTTTTAAAAGGTCTTGCAGGTGTAGTGCTTGTTTGTGGACGTGCTGAAAACTGACTAGCCATTACAGTGTATCCTCATATTGTGTTTGTTCTAAAATGGCTTTCGTTTTCATTTCATTGCCTTTATAAAACTTACAACTATTGACAGTAGGTCTGGAAACGAAGTGAATTGAACAGGTAACTACTGGTGACAACAAGTACTCTATTACTCTGTTAGACTATGTGAAGATGGCCCTGTTTACTTTGTACTGCTTTTTTCATTCAGCAGGTGCTGTTTAGATTGAATAACTGTGACTGAGACTTGAGTTGGCCTAGAGAGAAATCCACTGTTCCCCTCCCCAACCTCCTGTTCCTGACCCTCTCTGATACACATCTCTCACCATGAATGAAGTTAATATAGTCAGAGAGGGCTGGCTCCACAAAAGAGGTAAGGTGCATGAGGATTAGTGCTATTTAGCTCAATTTGATCAACATCGAGAATTGTTAACTCTACATGTCAAAGGGTTCATCTTAAAATCGCAGTGCATGTGCTTTTCTGACCTAGGTGAATACATCAAAACATGGAGGCCAAGGTATTTCATCTTGAAGAGTGATGGTTCCTTTATTGGTTACAAGGAGAAACCCGATCTGAATGACCAGACGTCACCACCACTCAACAACTTCTCAGTGGCAGGTCAGTCCTCCAGATGGTGTAATTGAACAATGGATGTTTCTAAGGTTGTTGCCATACCAGAATTTTATACTTTGATACAATGCTAGTATAATGAAAATTATACCTGATGGCTCTTTCAATTCAATTCCATTCAATTTTATTTGTATAGCGCTAATTCATAACAGAAGTTATCTCAGGACACTTTTCAAATAGAGTAGGTCTAGACCGAACTCTTTATAACATTAATTACAGAGACCCAACAGTACCACCATGAGCAAGACCTTGGAGACAAGGGCAAGGAAACACTGCCTGTTAAAAGACAGAAACCTAGGACAGATCCTTCGGCTCTTGGTGGGTGGTCGTCTGTCTCGACCAGTTGGGGAGAGAGAGAGAGAGAGAGAGAGAGAGAGAGAGAGAGAGAGAGAGAGAGAGACACACAGACACACAGACAGACAGACAGACAGACAGGTGCACAGCAACTACAGTAGCAACAACTACACTAATAGTAGTGACTGATGATGATGAACATGACAACAGCAACAACAGTAACCGTAGCTATAATAATACAGAATATTCGATACCACGCAAAAAGAAAAAGTCTTAAAAACACTAAATAGCCTAATTGTATACTTTTATAAATGATCAACTTGCACGCAGTCCTGGTACAGAAAGTCACTGAGGGCCACATTTTGAGGGCCAGTTGCAGTGCTTACCCTATTACTAATGGCATTTTTTAACTGATCTTTTTTTTTAACTGTTAAGTCTGCACTTTGCACTGTATTATCTAAGTAAAATAGTAAAGGAAAGTATTGGATCGGCAGATACTCTTTTAAACGACTCGGATCGGGGCCTAAAAAATTTGATTGTTGACATCACTACCTACTCTCATTCTGGTTGCTTATTTCTTATATCACCATTGTACTTCTAATTAATTCTCCACCTTATTTTAATGTTTGCTAATATATGACCTCACTCATCCCTACACCCCTGTCTTTTACTGCACACACCCCACTTGGAATTTATTCACTGTGATTCCTTTGATAGTGTTATGTTAGTCATATGTGAAGTGAATGAACTTATCGTAACGTCAACCATTGGTTTGGTTTGTACTGTTTTGATCCTGAAGTTTGGAATTATGGCCATTGCTGTGTTGGTTTTTCATAGCCGGCAGGTGAGCTGCTCTCATTGGCTGTGCCTAGTTTTGATTAGTCTGTAGCAGGAAACAATGGCAGCTCGCCTGGTCACACACAGTCTTGTATATCAGATAAACAGTACTCTAAAATATGCTGGAGAAAAGATTTGAGGACAGAAATAGGCAACGCAATAACAGAATGTTGATTCATATTTGATCAGCACTGCCTAGTTTGACAGTTTGATCTGACTTTCATGCATTGCACTGTGTGGACTAACTGAGAATGACCTGTCAGTCACAAGGTAGCCACGCCCTAAAGCATACCCTGCTTTATCGTCTATTTTACTCTATATAGCACCATCATTTACTGTATGGAAGAAGACTGCAACTAGAGATTGAGACCAGAAACTCATTAGGAAACTGTTTACTGAGCTCATAAGTTAACTCAGAAGTATGTTCATTTCGCCATTATTGGATTTCTTTTTCGTTTAGAAATTAGAAACAATGCAGGTTTAAGACACTTCCACATTGACTTCACTTCACAGACCACTAATTATATAATGGTGGGGAGGAGACATAACAATTGAAACCAACGTGGTACCAAATAACACCGGCTCCAACCAGGCATGCTCACTGTTGGCTGGTCCGTGCTTGTAAAATAACCACTGTATCAACAACTTCAGCGTACTTCAGTACTTTAGATACTATCGACTGTATTACTAATAGAGATTGTTTCATTTTAAACACATGGTATCAGAAAAGTATCAAAGTATCAATATTTTTGACATCCCTAGCAGTTTCTTGATAACCACTGCCCTTCTACTTTCTAAAATCAGTTGGATGTTTTTTGTTTCATACATTCTGTCCCAGCTGTAAACATTTTCAGCAGCCTCCTGTAAACACTGTCCTAAATTGTGCTTTTCACAGAATGCCAGTTAATGAAGACCGAAAGACCCCGGCCCAACACATTTGTCATCCGTTGCCTACAGTGGACCACTGTCATTGAACGCACCTTTCACGTGGACAGCAATGAGGAGAGGTGGGAAAATGTTTTCACTGCATCTCTTTTCACAGGATTCAGTAGCCTCTGTATGTAACAGAGTTTGATGGAACGTCTGACTGAATTTATGGGACTTTTGCCCCTCAGAGAGGAGTGGATGCGGGCAATCCAGTCCGTGGCAAATAGTCTGAAGATGCGGGAACAGGAGGAGGAGGAACCGATGGATATGTTCGGCTCACCCAGTGAAAGCAGCCTGGAGGAGATGGAGGTGGCCATGTCCAAGAGCTGCTCCAAAGTGGTGAGAAGATTAGTTTTTGGGGACATAAAAGAGAGTGAACTCGAGGTTTATCTTATCCAAAATACTGTATGAATACAATAAAATTTAGTTTTTCTTGCAAGGGAATTTAAAACACAACAAGGAAGCAGCACTTTTATTTTAAATCATACATATGTATCGTAGCGATAACTTCCATTTAGCCAAAAATACAGTTCAAAGTCTTCACTACATACAGTCTTAACGGACATCAAACTGCAGCATGACTGGTTGGGCAGAGGCATACAACTGCAGGGCGGTAATTCTGGTTCAACTAAGATGAATTGATCAGTTTTCAGCAACAAAAGAATATCTTTAGCGAAGAGTGGGAGCCAGTGGATCCTGTTCATTTAGCCAATTTCTGATATTCATTATTTAAAGACCAAAGCAATGTTCAGTTACATACATATACAGGTACAGCTAAAAAAAATATACTTTTTGTCAATCATTTCAGAAAGTGAAACTCATATATTATATAGATTCATTACAGAGTGAAATATTTCGAGCCTGTATTTCTTGTAATATGATTATGGTTTACAGATAATGAAAACCCAAAACTCAGTGTCTCAGAAAATTACAATATTAAATAAGATCAATAAAAAAAAGGCTATTTTAAACACAGATGTCAGGCTTCTGGAAAGTATGTTAATTTCTATGCACTCAGTACTTGGTTGGTGCTTTCTATGAATATGTTGGATACAGCAATCTGTGAATAGCCAGCTTCTTTAGCAATGACCTTTTGTGGCTTACCCTCCTTATGGAGGGTGTCAATGAATGTCTTCTGGACATCTGTCAAGTCAGCAGTCTTCCCCATGATTGTGTGGTGTACTGACCCAGACTGAGAGACCATTTAATGGCTCAGGAAACCTTTGCAGGTGTTTTGAGTTAATTAGCTGATTAGGATGTGACACCATGAGTTTCCAATATTGAACTTTTTCACAATATTGTAATTTTCTGAGACACTGAATTTTGGGTTTTCATTATCTGTAAGCCATAATCATCAAAATTACAAGAAATACAGGCTTGAAATATTTCACTCTGTGTGTAATGAATCTATATAATATGAGTTTCACTTTTCTGAAATGATTGACAAAAAATATTGAACTTTTTCACGATATTAAAATTTTTTGAGCTGTACCTGTAGTATTTAAAATAGATGCTGTGATGTAATTCTTTCAATTCAATTTTATTTGTATAGCGCCAATTCATAACTGAAGTTATCTCAGGACACTTTTCAAATAGAACAGGTCTAGACCGAACTCTTTATAACATGTCATTTTGAGTAAATCTTACCAAACAATGTGCAATTTAATTTTTTCAGTTACTATTACTAGTACTATTTCAGTTTCACACAAGCTTTTCTGAAAACTTTTAAAAAACATCTATTATATTAGTTGTAAAAGAACAACAAACCAACAACAGCAGGAAGAATAGTATTCCTTAAGGCTGTGAAGGTATATGACATATGACTTTGGCAAAAAAAAAGCTCATCTCTGTCTGAAGATGTCTGACATTTATGTTTTTTAGCTTAAATTAAAGCTTACATTTTTACATCAATACAAATACAAAATCCACAATCATAATGAACACACCTCGGCCTTGTGTACGTTGCAGACAATGAGTGACTTTGAGTACCTGAAGCTGCTTGGGAAGGGGACGTTTGGGAAGGTGATTCTGGTCAAAGAGAAGTCCACTGGAGTGCATTATGCCATGAAAATACTGCGCAAAGAGGTCATCATAGCCAAGGTAAGTGAGAGGTGTGTGTTTGTGTGTGTGTGTAGACACAATTTGTTTTAGCTACAGTAGTCATCATCTCATTCTGCTGCAAGGCACTTCCTGCCTCCATACCTTTCTACCATAACCATCTCTACCATACCATAGAGAGCAGCAGAGCGTCAGCGTAGTACCAGTGAGGTATTATTATGTCAGACTGGAATTGAGCATTTACAGTGTATTTTACTCTTTCCAATGACCACATTCTTTCTCTAACCTTAACAGTAGTAGTTTTCCTTGCCTTCACTAAACCATATTGTGATAATAATTAAACATTTGCTGACATTGTTGGGGAGAGTGAGACTTAATTAATCATGTTATCGCTGTCTCTAATAGCCAATATTACAGAGAGGAATTTAAAAACAATAAACTCCCCACTTAGTTAGACATCGTCTGTCTGTCACACACCTGTCACCCATTTTGTTATACTTACATGATGTAATTGGCTGCATTACTGGGCAAAATAAGGCAGCAGGGACACAGTCTAAAGTATGTGCCTTCAGAAGCAGATTTTTAAAGCACACTGCTTTAACTAATTTCACCATTTACACTATGAAAGAAATAGCCTGGAATTCGCATTTTGCAAATTTGTCTAGAACATGTCAGTTCTTTTTTATTCTCCAAGGCCTCTGGACGCAATTGGATAGACCTACAACTACAACAACTACAATCAAAGCAAAGAAACGTGTGTTGTAGTTGGTAAACTAATCTTACCTAATCCTGTCGGACGCATGGCAAACGCATCTTTCATCTCAACAAAAGCTTTAAATTCAGTGTAGTGGTTTAGTTGCAACTCCCTTGCTTCACCCTTCCCTGCCAAGCACAAAAGGTGGAGCTATGGTGGCCGCAAAACGTGCGACAAACACTTACAGCCCTATCTAGAACCAGTGTTTGGTTTGTCCGTTCTGGGCTACTGTAGAAATATGGCGGTTCAACATGACAGACTCCATGGAATGGACCATCTGCATCTGTAGATGTAACCAGCTCATTCTTTATCTGCCACAAAGATGTCAAACCAGATGGTTGCCATCTTGATGCCTCTTACCCTTTTTTTGTATTTCGTGTTTTCATTATGTCTGACAATAATGTGTTTGTTGGCAGGATGAGGTGGCCCACACAGTTACAGAGAGCAGAGTGTTACAAAACACGCGGCACCCCTTCCTCACGGTGAGAATACTTTCAAATGAGTCACTTGATAGTAGAGGTCTGCAACAGCTGGTGATGCGCCGCTGTGTCAGATAGAGCAGCCGCTCACTTGAGATTTTCTTTAGAATGAGCTAAATGGTCCCTCAGTGCTGAGCCCCTATTGGATGATTGACAGCACTTATGGGAACAGTGTATTGTTCACACACTATAATATTATAGCTCTAGGGATGGCAGTGTCAATAAGTAATGTTTCAACCATTATTTCAACAACCATTGGATAGATTTGGTTCAGACATTCATGTTTCCCTCAGAATGAACTATAATCACTTTGTTGAACCTCTGATGTCATAATCAGGTCAAAATGTATCTGGTTTTTGACCAAATACCAACAAAACTAATTACATTCCTATCAGCCTCAGCTCTAATAATGTGCAACACAAAGATGGTGATTATACCTACTAAACCTCAGAATGGTATTGTTATAGTGATAGCAGGCTGACAGTACAGCCTCACAGAGCCGACTACAGACCCTTAGTCTTGTTACTTAACTGTTGTACATGTGTATTGTTTGTGATTTCCTTTCTGCTTAAAAAAAGAAAGAGAAAAAAATAATTGTTTGTGTGTTTTATTAATTTTTTTAGGGCCCTAACTGAATCAGAATTTAGTGTACTCAAAATCACCAGTTTTGGCAGAATATTCAACTTTTCATTTTAAAAATACTTTATATACAGTGCATACGGAAAGTATTCACAGCGCTTCACTTTTTCCACATTTTGTTATGTTACAGCCTTATTCCAAAATGGATTCAATTCATTTTTTTCCTCAAATTCTACACATAATACCCCATAATGACAACTTAAAAAAAGTTTGTTTGAGTTTTTTCAAATCTATTGAAAATAAAAAACGAAGAAATCACTTGTACATAAGTATTTGGCGGGGGCGGCTGTGGCTCAGAGGCAGAGCGGGTCGTTCCTTAATCGGAAGGTTGTGGGTTCGATCCCCAGCTCCTGGTGCCACACGTCGAAGCATCCTTGAGCAAGATACTGAACCCCAAATTGCTCCCGATGCCGTGCATTGGTGTGTGAATGTGTATGAATGTTAGTTTCTGTTTGATGAATTTTGCCATCACTGAGTGAATGTGTGTGAAAGGGTGAATGTGGCACGTAGTGTAAAAGCGCTTTGAGTGGTCGGAAGACTAGAAAGGCGCTATACAAGTACAGGTCCATTTACCATTTACCATATTCACAGCCTTTGTGATCAAGCTCAAAATTGAGCTCATCCTGTTTCCACTGATCATCCTTGAGATGTTTCTGCAGCTTAATTGGAGTCCACCTGTGGTAAATTCAGTTGATGGGACATGATTTGGAAAGGCACACACCTGTCTATATAAGGTCCCACAGTTAACAGTGCATGTCAGACCACAAAACAAGCATGAAGTTGAAGGAATTGTCTGTAGACCTCCGAGACAGGATTGCCAAGCATTATGTTTGGAGGACACCAGGCACTGCTCATCACCTGGCCAATACCATCCCTACAGTGAAGCATGGTGGTGGCAGCATCATCTGTGGGGATGTTTTTCAGCGGCAGGAACTGGGAGACACGTCATGATTGAGGGAAAGCAGCAATGTACAGAGACATCCTGGAAGAAAAGCTTCAGAGCGCTCTTGACCTCGGAGTGGGGCGATGGTTCATCTTTCAACAGGACAACGACCCTAAGCACACAGCCACGATATCGAAGGAGTGGCTTCAGGACAACTCTGTGGATGTCCCAGGCTGCGTTTCATTAGTAGTTCCACTTCCCCTCAGCCCTTAGTATGACGTAACAGCATAAGTCGCACGGAGGACCCTTGGAGCGCGGAGGGAAAGTGGGCGGGGGAGGAGTGGGGGATTTAAATGAAACGCACTTGCCCTTACTCGGCGTTATAGCAGCAAGGACGTAAACTGCAATGCATTGTGGGTGATATCCACCTCGGAGTGACCATCGTTGTTCACTCGCTCCCTCAGCCCTCCGAGGGTCCATCTCACCAAGTTCACTTCAGTTTTACAGACAATTGGAACGACACTTATGATGGCGGCGGGGATTCCCCCAAGGGCAAGTGAAGGAGGGCAAGTGAAGGAGGGCATGTTGAACGACTAATGAAACGCAGCCCTAGAGTGGCCCAGCCAGAGCCCAGACTTGAACTTGCTGCCAAAGGTGCCACAACAAAGTATTGAGCAAAGGCTGTGAATACTTATGTACATATTATATTTTTGTTCTTTATTTCTAATGAATTTGCAAACATTTTAATAAACCTTTTTTCATGTTGTCATTATAGGGTATTGTGTGTAGGCTTTTGAGGAAAAATAATGAATTGAATCCATTTTGGAATAAGGCTGTAAGTAACATAATGGAATGTGGAAAAAGTGAAGCGCTGTGAATACTTTCCGTATGCACTGTATATAAATAATAATAAATACTTTAAAAATTCAATGCCCTCTTTTTCCATCACCCTTCTCTACCAGTCAGGTCATTTTGAGGCAAAAATAAGTTTGTAAAACTTAATTGCCTGCCATGCTGTTTTCCTGCATTGCCCTGTATACAATGATACGTCTAAACACAAAAAAATGTCTACGACTGGGATTGTATGCTGTTTGAGTCAGGGGCTGCTCAACTGACTTGTTTTCTTTACTATTTTTGGATGTAAGCAGACAGAATTCAGCTCAGACAATAAATGTCTCTAAATTTGGCATTTGTATTTGTCATTTTTACAACTGTATTTTACTCATCATTTTGCTAATCTTTAAGGTAAACTAACAGCCAGACAAATCATTTTTGTGAGATTAGAGCTTCTTAAAAGGACATTCGTCACACCTGACCATAGCCCTCTTATGATGCAGGTCTTTTTTGATGGTAGAGAGATTACGCTGGGATAGTGTAACACATGCAGACATTCACCATCATCTCTAATGTGATCCTTTTCTTCCTGCAGACACTGAAATATGCCTTCCAAACCCACGATCGACTCTGTTTTGTAATGGAATATGCCAATGGAGGCGAGGTGAGACCTTACATACACACATCAGTCACATAGAGATACACCAATGTGACTTGATGTCTGCAGCTTGCCGTTTAAACGCAGACACCCCTTCTCTAACGGGGCGAGTGTCTGACTCATCTCCATCTTCATGTTGCCTCTTTCAGCTCTTCTTCCACCTGTCACGGGAACGAGTGTTCACGGAGGACCGGGCACGCTTCTACGGCGCCGAGATCGTATCAGCACTTGAGTACCTCCATTCACGTGACGTTGTTTACCGCGACCTGAAGGTGAATATCAATTTTGAAATATACAATATCCATACAGGGTTTATATTGTCTTCAGAGGATATCATGTGATGAATTATCATTTTAGAGTTTACCAGGACGGGATTATCAGTTGAATAAAAAATAAGTCTTCAGTTGAATAGAATTGAAGCATTTAGAAGCATTTAACTTTATATAAATTTATATAAATCACATTTTGTGATAATCTTCCACATTTTGTAATAATGCCAACCTGAAAAAAGTAATTCATGCGTTTATTTCTAGCGTGGTTGACTATTGCAACAGGTTTTTGCCTGGACTCCCCAACAAGAGCATCAGCTTATTCAAAATGCAGCTCATAAAAAGAGTGCAACATTTTGAAATAGCCACTACAATATTTAATAATTTATCTCAAACTGGGGGAAAATGTGTTACATATTGGATTCAGGCTATTTATTACAAAATGTGGCAGATTGTTACAAGTGTTATTACATTTTGAAGTGAAAATTGATTCCATGTTGTCGAGTTATTACATAATACAGTGACATTACATAATGTGCTGTCACATACCTCATTACAAATTCAGACGACAAGTGTGAAACTGTCATTACATCATTCTGCAGAGTGAAGATCAAACTACACATAGTAGTGTACAATGTTTCTTCTAGTATGTTCTGAAAATGCTGCATTGAATAAAAAAGTCTGAAAGTGACGCCAGTCCCACATTGTATGGCCATATTTGGTCCTTTCCCTGATATACCCTTGACTTGTTACCATTAATATTACCGAGCTCAAATTGCTTCCATCCACTTTGACTTTTGTGGGGGAACAAAGTAATCAATGACTTGTGTAAGTGAGCAGTGATCGTTTTTTTTGGTCCAAGTGAGTTGTAGTTTTGTGTTGACATAACAATAATAATATAATTTAGGCTGGGTGATCTGTTGTTTTGCAAAACAACCTTTTATATATATATTTTTTGTCTATTGGTCAAAAAGTTCAAATTATTTTTTAATATTATTAAATAATAAATGTGAGGAAGCTGTAGCTTCTCTGCTGTTTCTATGCTGGATTTCCTTAAATAGTAACTTGCTGCAGGTCATTGACCAAAACCTCACAGATGAAACTAGTTTGGAAGATGGAAACACTGACATTCAGCAGCTAGAAAAGACTATTCAATTACTTAATTTTAACAAACAAAACTTGATTTTAATTGTAATTTTGGGGAGAAAGGGACACAATTTCCCATTTTTGGGGAAGATTATATTATAATATTACTGTAATATAATCCATTATGTTCATTTAAAAACTTCTAAAAATCTAAGCACAGACACTGTCATTATATCCATGATCTTAAGACTCATATCTGTTGTGTTATTTTACTCTCTCAGCTGGAGAATCTGATGCTGGACAAAGACGGTCACATCAAAATCACTGATTTTGGTCTTTGTAAGGAGGGCATTACCCCTGACGCTACCATGAAAACCTTCTGTGGAACTCCTGAATATCTGGCCCCTGAGGTAAGGCACTGAGATTTCTGACCTCTACCCAAGCAGCTCCATTTTTCACCGCACTTAATGTCTTCACTTCATATACAACTCACAATCTGCTGCTCTCATGTTTAAGCAGATTTCTGCAAATATTAATACATTACCTACATGTTTACACACGTTACAGACAGCTGTCCCCTCTGACACAAGCACATGATTTTTTAATTTTTTGTGTATGTGATTAAAGTGGTGCATGTGAACAGATGAGGTGCCTGTGTTCATCAAGCATCTTAAAATCACTCACCTTAAGTTAGAACCTAGAACCTAGCTAGAGCTAGTACCTCCCTCGGAAATAAATGAAAAATAAATAACAATTCTTAAGTTTCCTTGCTGATTCCAGTATTCAGTCAACAAATTTAAGACTGACAGACTAATCTAGATGCAATTTGATGCAGGAAAAACTAAATGAAATCCAGATAGGTGGCCTCTTGACAAGCTATTTCAGTTCAAGAGAGAGAGAGACAGACAGACAGACAGACAGAGACAAAGGTGCACAGCAACAACAGTAGCAACAACTACACTAATAGTAGTGACTGATGATGATGAACATGAAGAAGATGGCGACGACGACAACGATGGGGGACAATGAGCAGTGACGATAGTAATAATAGTAACTGTAGTAATAATAATAATAATAATAATGATAATAACAATAATATCAGTGATATTAGCAATGGCAGTCAAGCAGGACCATGGCAGGAGGCTCCACCAGGATCCATGAGAACCTGCAAGATGAGAAAGCACAAGAACTCCGGGGAAGAAGTGAAGTTAGTAACATGTATTAATGGAACATGAATGAGTGCAGAAAGAGAGAGAGAGGAAGAGAGGAGCTCAGTGCACCATGGGAAATCCCCCGATAGTCTAGGCCTATAGCAGCATAACTAAGGGATGGTTCAGGACTCACCTGATCCAGCCCTAACTATAAGCTTTATCAAAGAGGAATGTCTTAAGCCTACTCTTGAATGTGGTGAGGGTGTCTGCCTCCCGAACCACAACTGGAAGCTGGTTCCACAGGAGAGGAGCTTGGTAACTGAAGGCTCTGGCTCCTGTTCTACTTTTAGAGACTATTTGTACACAGCCTGAAAATATATGTCATACAAAAAACAACATTTCATCTTAAATGGCATTTAAATGATTGAAATCAAACCAGAAAGTTTTTTATTATTTTTTTGTTTACCATGAAGAGTCCTGTTAAATATTAATGTGCTTAACCTATAATAATTTACTTGATACTTAAGAATAAACAATTCTTTCACTACTAGGCCTTGCAAGGGATGCACTGAAACCTGTTTGCAGACCCAATAGAGTCTGAAAACCAAATACAAACATGAGTACTTAATAATTTTAGTTCTAACAATAACTTTGAAAACATGTTTTCATATTTTCATCGGATGTTCCTCACTTTCTTACTGTAAAAGTTGCTTAAAATATCTCCAGACTGCTGACATTGCTTCTCCTCCGCCTACCTAAGATAAGATAAGATGTACCTCTATTGGTCCCCAATAGGAGAAACTCAAATTAGACACAGCAGCATAGGGGAATGTATTGCAATAAGAATATTACAAAGTATAATAGAAAATATAAGACTATAAATGAATGAATGAAAAATATATACACTCCTGATGAACTAACGAGAGGTTATGTAACATTACACTGCCATAAAGTTGTATCTGGTGCAGTATCAGAGTAGTTTTATTATTACAAGTATGAGTACATGAGCACAGTATCTGACCTGTTACTGGATTTGGTATATTTGGACCAAATAAGTGTCAACACTGAGAGTTGTGGGCCAGTTCAGGCTGATTTTCTTCTTTGTTCTCTGAGATGTTTAAGTAGGTACCCTGGAGAAAAAGTAAATGCTAAAGCAAATACTAGTTAAGAAAAAGCCAAACCATAAAGGTTAGAAATTAGCAGACATTTAAAAGTGGCCTGAGATCACAAGGCAGGGAGTTCCACATTTGAGGGGTCCGGACAGCAAAAGCCTGTTCACCTTTGGTGACTACTGAAAATTTTGGAACCATGAGTATCCCCTGCCAGAGGGTCTCATGCAGCGATCAGGCTCATGGTTGAGCAAAGTGGGAGTGAACCACTTTATTTACATGAGCTGTGAAGGACCACTCTGAATCAAATATAACTCCCAGGTTGCTTCGAGAATTATTAGATAAATCATCGTTATTTTTAAATAGGTCACACATGGAAGATGCAAAACGCCAATGTATCAGAATGCCCCTAATATGGATTCTAACATTCAGTGTAAATGCACATAATGCACTACCAAGTCCTCGTATCCTAAGTCCTGGCCCTTTGTGCTCTGTGCTCCAATAACAGTTGAGCAAGCCTTGGTCAGAACCTCAGTGAAATGCAAAGTCAAAGTCACTTGTTGCTGCCGTTGTTGAGAAATGTTAATCAAGTAAATGTCTGGTTCTCAGGTACTAGAAGATAATGACTATGGCCGTGCAGTGGACTGGTGGGGTCTGGGTGTAGTCATGTATGAGATGATGTGTGGCCGCCTGCCTTTCTACAACCAAGACCATGAGCGTTTGTTTGAGCTCATTCTCATGGAGGAGATCCGCTTCCCTAGGAACCTGTCGCCCGAGGCCAAGTCCCTGCTGGCCGGCCTGCTCAAGAAGGACCCCAAACAGAGGTGTGTGTGTGTGTGTGTGTGTGTGTGTGTGTGTGTGTGTGTGTGTGTGTGTGTGTGTGTGTGTGTGTGTGTGTGTGTGTGTGTGTGTGTGTGTGTGTGTGTGTGTGTGTGTGTGTGTGTGTGTGTTCCTTTGTTCGTTTTTTCAATACCTACTTGATTCGTACATGATCTTGTTTGGACTGACAGGTTAGGTGGAGGTCCTGAGGATGCCAAAGAAGTGATGACTCACAAATTTTTCATCACCATCAACTGGCAGGATGTGGTGCAGAGGAAGGTAAGACATCTTGAGGATAGAGGAAGTGAAACTGGGGTTTGCTTTTTAGTCACAGACACTGTCAACCTTCATATCTGTGATTTCAGACACTCTCTTACCATCAATCGCCTGTACATAAAATACTTACAACTTTATAGATGCAGTCAGGTTTTGAACTGCGCTGTGAGGAACAGAATAACAAACAGATTAAATTCATCTCTATGAATGAGAATCAAAAGAAAGTAGGAATTGAATGGTTCAATAATAATCTGAACCATTGTGTTTGCTGGTCATGGTTCAGGGGATGTGTGAGGTCAAAAATATGTGCATTGGTTAAGTTACTCAGTGTCAAGTGCAGCTGTTAGCCTTGGAAATGGCCAGTGAACAGACAGAGTAGCCTATAGTTAGAAGATCCGCCAGTATCCACATTAGCACAAGGTTCCGGTGCCCAACCCTAACTATTACACATTAACCACATAGCGATGTTAACATTGTGGAAGATAACACAGTGTCAGTAAGGGATGATACAGCCCTGGTCTGCCCCCTACTGGATATATTTTTTTGAATTTCAGGTATACACAAAGTACACAGACAGTATTTAGACCCTTGTCTTCAGTAGTCCTTTTATAAACCCAGTATGTTCCCAATGGAACAGCCAGTTTACCCATCTTCTCTCCTTCCTGCGTCAGCTCACCCCACTCTTCAGACCGCAAGTGACATCAGAGACAGACACCCGGTACTTTGATGAGGAGTTCACAGCGCAGACCATCACACTCACTCCTCCAGACAAGTGTAAGTATCCTCTAATGCAGCTCGCTGTCAGTGCACTGTCACACGCCCACCACTGTGATCCACTACTGTCAATGATCAAGTTCTGCTTTCTTGGCTCACTTGTGCTGTCTTGTCCTACAGATAACAGTCTGGACTGCGAGGACCCTGGCCAGCAAGCACATTTTCCCCAGTTCTCGTATTCTGCTAGCATAAGAGAGTGATAGCACCTCTGCCACACACACACAGACAAACACACAAGGCATGAACACCTTGGCTACATCCCTTACAGCTACAAAATGGCCAGAACCTCCATCTTTAATGAGGTTTTGGTCCCATCAGGATCTAAGTGCCTCAGCCGGCAGCCATATTGTTCTATAGAAACCCCTCCATACACACTATGGGCAACGCCTGGCCACACTGGCTGTACTGTATTAAACTGGAGTTCAGTACCTCAAATAGTCATCAGCACAAGAAAACAACAAAATCAGGACTCCGTCTGTAGCGCCTTTGGGTGGCCTATAAACAATTACTGCTGCTCTTTCTGACTGTAAACACAGATCATTTTAACTCCTTTTTATGGTCTCATGAGAAGCCATACAGTTCCTTCACCATGTTTCCAAGTGCTCTTCAGAACTAGCTGTTACCACTGGTGATAGAAATGGTGTGTGTGTGTGGATTTTTTATTTTTTTTTTGTAAATGGGGGCATCCGATCCAAACTAAACGTATCAGTTTAGTCAGAGTGTGTGAGGCTTTGTGTGCGTCTTGCCCGATACACATCAGGAACAACATGAATTGATGATAACACATGATAATCCAAGTGTGTCTGTGGAGAGACGCTCTGAGCGAGTGAATCACGAGGCGTCGGAGAGAGAGGCTGTCCTTTTAAAACTGTATGCAATTAGAAGCAATGCAATTGTATATTCGTTTGCTCTCATCTCAGAATGTGATCTCTGTTAACAGATCTGTCAAGTGCAACACAGCAGTTAATGGGAATTTGGGAATACCTTCATGCACAAGGTGTATATGTTATTTTTGTTTTTAAGTTTTTTTTTTTTATTTTAACACATTTCTGATCTTTCTTGATCAGCAAAATACACACCAGCCATGTGATTTAAGAGGCTTAATAAGCACAGTGATTTAAAGCAGACCTGATTTTTCTCAAATGGACATGTTCATAATGTAGCTGAAAGCTTCCTGGATTGATGTCGATGCTCATTATTTTTGTAACCCTTCACTGAAATGTTAGTAGTAAACAAGTGTGCTCAGATAGTTTTCTGATTTACATCTCCATCTGGCCAGTTTAATTTCAGTACATTTCTTGTATGTCTTAAGGCAATTTCCCCCTTTTCCCCTTATGAAATCAATGTAAGACTGTACGCTGGTGAGCTAGACAGCTTTTTCAGGTCAAGCCACGGGAGGATATTCACGGTTAACAATATTCACAATAAATATATCTGAATGTTTTTTAGTGCAATTCTATCGTATATCCTCCCATCCCTACTTGGAAGCTATTCAGTCAACTAGATGCAATTGAATCCCATAGACCCCTTTAATTGAGAACGGAATGTAGATAGTAAGGTATCAAAAACGTTTGGGTATTTGTAGTGAAACTCAGGCGTTGGTTTGACTAGGGATGGGAATCAAGGATTCTTATCCATTTGTTTTATTGTCGCAGTTATTGTGACAGTTCTATATTGCAAAACAATGAAGTCGATCTTGTGCACCTATCCTGCTATATACTCGCAACAAGGAGTCATGGTGGATAGAAAGCTGTGTGTAAAATGATCCTTCCATCTGCAGTGATCATCTTTTTACACATGAAACATGGCCTTAAATTCCAGGAATGCCATGTGTTTGTATAAATGTATTAATGTCTTTAGTCTTTGCCTAAGAAAGCCTAAATGAAAACAAATGCTGTACAAATATTCTCTCGCTGCATCCACTTTAGATTATGACAGACAGACACAGGTCTGTTTAGGTCTGCACAGAAAATTGATCAGGAATCAATAAGGGAATCACTGAAGAATCGGACTGATAAGATGACTCGATTGCAGCATTGATATCAGTTCCCAGCCCCAGTATTGGCACTGCTGTTGATAACCAGCCCGAGCCCCAAACTAAATTCCCTGCACTTCCAGAGAACATGTTTATATTTGGAGTGACGTCCTTTCTTAGCATTCAGAGCTAGACTAGATAAGATGTACCTTTATTGATCCCCTGTAGGAGAAATTCAAGTCAGACACAGCAATTCTGAAGCTTTGTTATAGTTTATCTCTGTAGCCTTTCCTCTGATGTAACTCGCCTTTACCTACTGGAGACTTTACACGTTTGAAGTTGTGGCTGACAGTTATCCTCCTGGCCATTCTTCCATCTTTTTGTAAATCTTACAGCGTTCTACTTCATCCAAACTGCTCCTTTTTTTCAGACTGCAATGTGCCACTAGATTGAACCGGACGATTAAAGTTTGAGCTGGAGAGCTAAAAAAAAATCATCCAGGGAGCTGCGTACATCATGAATATAGTCCAATTGTTTGTGTTTGAGTGCGATGGTGACTCGCAAGGATGTCTCTTTCGAAATTCTTCCCATCTGTTATCAATCGCTGCACAACTAAAAATGGTAACCAGGAGTGGCGTACCATTAAGATTTGCAATACTGGGTGTTAAACTGTACATGAAAATGCATCCTTTAACTTGGTGCTACACTGTTTAGTCACTGGTAATAAATAAAGAGCTGGTGCAGACAAACCTGCTCAACTTCCCGTCGCTCACAGAGCCTTCTACCACATATGCTGTTTTGACATAATTTCCGTTATTTTCGTTTTTGTCTTGTTTTTTCATCTTGACTTACCGTTTTTCCTCACCCTTCCTGTACTCTGAACCTCCTTCACAAATTAAGGAAATTCATAATGGTTGAACGAAATGTATGTTTTCAGTTACATTATTCTATTCAAGCAATTCATTTCTATGTCTATGAATGTAATTCTGAAAGACAATGATCCAATACACGTTTTTAACGGTCTGAATGCATCCTCATGTTTGTGTCTTAATTCTTCTTTGTATGTGTAACATTTAGGAGGATCTATTGTTCAGAAATGGAATATGTTCATAGGTATGTTTTTGTTACTTTTAAATAAGCTCTTTTTATCTACAGAGGCCCTTTCACGTGTTTTTGAGCCACTGTAGTTTATCCTACACACTTAGAACACAGAGCTCTATTCAAATGGTTGCAGTCTGACACTAGAACCTACACAATGGACCGTAACAAGTTCTACAAGTACCAAGGCACTCAGGAGCACATCCTAGCACTCCTAAAGGAATTATGGAATGCTATGGAATTTCCACACATTATCACTCATGTACTACTGTCTGATATAGTGAAAGTTTCAGCAAATATGACACAAAAATATTTTAATAAAAATGACCAACTGCAGCTTCAGGTGATATATGTACAGTATATGTAGGTAAACCAATCATAGGTCAAAACATTGCTAAATTTGCCTGAATTATATAATCCACAAGTGGTACTAAATGAAGAGCTGAAAGAGCTGAGTCTTATTGCTGAGCTCAACCAAACGGTCTGGATCACTTAAAACAGCTGGAGCTGGATTCATAAATTAGATGCATATTAATCTGATTACATCCAAGGTAAGAGCGAAATCACATTGTCATACTGTAGGCTACACACACGTTCCCCTCTAAAAAAACCAAGTAACAATGTCCGAAGTGTGAGAACTGAGTTATGTCATGTTCATAGGATGAGAGAATGGCAGTTACGTAACGCTCTCTCCTGTGTGTGTGTGTGTGTGTGTGTGTGTGTGTGTGTGTGTGTGTTTGCGCGTGCGCGTGGGTCCAGACACACGGAAGTCTCACGGTGTTTTTCAGCACTCCCCCAGCAGGGAACATGTGCTGCCGGGGAGCGACCACGCCTCCACCCGCCTGCCTCACATGTTGCCGCACACATTCACTGTCTCCAACGCTGCGTTCAGGGCCTACGGGAATAGTCGGGGCAACAATGTCAGCCTCGGAATCAGAATAACTTTTATTGAACAGAATTTGACTCCGATTTTACTTTGCTCTCAATGTAAAAATATAAAAACAGGACAACAAGCTCGAATTACTATATACTACTATGGGCTATATATATACACACACATATATATATATATATGTATAACTTCTGTTATGAATTGGTGCTATACAAATAAAACTGAATAGAATTGAATTGAAAATGTGCAAATGTATATACACACAAACAATAATAACATTTGTACAAAATAAATCATTTAGGTGTTCTGTTACATGTGGAACATGTTACAGTATTTTTGTGAAGAACCCATCAGCTGGTGACACAAATCAGTGGGGGAAATAAATATACAAGCTGAAATATACAATATACAGGACTGTATAACTCATCTACCTCCGGTCGCGAGAGGGACAGTGGAGACACTGTGCCCTGAGCAAATGTCACTTTATCATTTTTTACACAGTTTTCACTCATCACTTTATTTAGTTGTACTGTACCTTAGTTGCTAACAAATGCTGCTATTTAGTTCATTGTTTGATTTATTTTATCTTAGCCTTTATTTTATTATTTATTTTATTTTATTTTATTTTATGTTATCTTATTTTTACTCTAACCCTGTATTACTTTCCCGCCTTTGTATTGCAACTGTTGCACGGTCATTTCCCTCGGGATAAATAAAGCTTCTTGAATCTTGAATGTCGAAAAACCAGCATATTTCTGTGGTGATCAGAAAAAAATGATTGTGTTTATTTGGTCATAAATTCATAACTTTGTTTATGTGTCTTCTTAAAACACACTTTTATATCATAACCTTCCTGTGATCCTCCTATCTAACCTTTTATTCACTGTGGTTTTATTGTCTTTTATTGTTTTATCTATTATTTTTATTATTGCTGTATATGATAGTGTTTATTGCTTATTCTATATATTGTTACTAATGGTGCTATTTTGGTGCCCTTTAACCATTTTCTAGTAGAATGTCAGTTTTTCCGTCTGTCCATGAACACGCCATCAGAGAGACCATTTACCAGCCCCTTCAGTTTGTGCAGCTTTGGGCCCTGGCAACATCTGTAAATCATAGCCTGTATTGATCTCCACACCACTGCAGTAAAATCAATTGTTTTTTTAAACCAGTGCAGTTCTCCTGCAAAAAATAGATATAATAATAAATAATTATTATAAAAAAACATCATATTATAAATCATAATAAATACATTTAAATGAGGGCAAAGCATTCATTTCAACTGCTGGACAGCCTGCAGAGACTAAATCTGCATAAGTGCATTATGCAGATTTATCTATATTGTATTTGTCATATCTGTAGTGTAGATTTTACTTCATAAATAAGTTAATAAGTAATTAAATATTTGTAAAGACAGAACAACATCTCTAATGTATCAGTCATTCCATGTGCAACAGGGTCCGGTTTTCATATTTACAACAGCACTTAAAAGCACCGTACTAGTACCAAAACGCACCCCTCACGTGGACTGTCCGACGTCACCACCCAAACACGTGTCTCGGCACGGGATTGGCCAAATCGCCGCCGCTACGTCATCACAGACGCGCTACTTAATATATTAAGGGGGCGTGGCCATGGAACTCAACATCATGGATGCTTTCAGTACACAGTCAGACCGGCCGTGTGAGGACACTCCTCTGGACAGCAGCCTCATGTATCACTTTAATGCTTTCTTACTTCATTTAGTTAGGTCTTAGTAATTTGGTGTCTCTGTGTATATATAGCATATATACATATATATATATATACATACATATATTATTCTTCTGTCCAGTACAGGATGTAAAGTGGGCACTGGAGGAAGGTACTGCCTCCCTGACTGTGGAGATGCTTCGTCCTGCTGCTACAATTGAGCTGTCCTTTCTCGTCCTGTGGGTAAAACACTGACAGGTGAGTGAACTACTTATAAGTGTCCAAACTTTTGTCCACTGTCCAACGTCAGCCTGTGCTTTAATAATATGTCACAACCATGGGCTCTGCTGCAGGCTTAAAGAGTTTATACTGTGTACTGTGTGTGAGTGTGAATGGGGAAATAGCAGGCTTATTTTTTTCCCTGAGCAGTGGCAGCAGTGTATTACATAACAGTGTTGGAGGTGGGACAGTACAGTTTGCCGGGGACCATCTTATCAAGTTGCTCCTGCTGCAGCCTCATCCTGCATGTGCATGCTGTCATGTTTACACAGTAGGTAAAACACATGACAAACACTACCATGCTCACGAATGGGCCTTCTGTGTATATCAGCTGTATCATAGAGCACACTGGTGTCAAATACAAAGGGCTTCTTATTCAGATAATGTTAGAGCACAGTTTACAAAAAGAGAAGCTTACAGAGTTCATAGTGACCAAAGTTTTATCTGTAAAATACCACTATTATACTGTGGACTATCAACAGGATGTGAGCTGCCAAAAGAAAGATTTGGTTTTTTGTGATACGTCCTTGCTTAACTCGCTGGTCCAGTTCTTCAGTTACATGTGACATATTTATTTGTTTGGCCACGAAATAACAGATTCTTGATAGGGCACTTCTACTGTAACATTTCTTTTTACATTTATACGATGGATCACTCTCTTTGCACTGATGATGTGCTGGAAAAGGCTCTAACACCATTCTGATCATAAATCACATACATCTGTCCCATTTTTGAATAATAATATTTTCAGGAAACACACTTTTTCCCTCTAAATGCAGAGAGTCTCTGCAGTGTCTCTCTGCAGTTTCTTACTTTCTGTTAAGTAGGCCTAATCGTCACATATACTTTGGGACTACAAGCTAGTAGACTGATGTAAGTGCAATTTAAACTTTAGGGTTTTAAGAAGCTAAACACTACAGTATCCACATGTTGAGTAGAGGCGATACAGTGTTAGAGCACCTTGCATTTTATTTTATGTATGTATATATACAGTAAGTAGAATTTCAGTGTCCAGTGTGTAGGATTTAGTGGCATCTAGCGGTGTAGTCTGCAAATTGCCACTCCCTTGCTTCACCCTTCCTTTCCAAGCATGTAGGAGAAACTACAGTGAGAAACGTGAAACAATGCAAACAGCCCACCTAGAGTCAGTGTTCAGTTAGTCCCTTCTTGGCTACTGTAAAAACATGGCAGTTCAACATGGTGGACTCCATGAAGGGTGACCCCTATATTCAAAACATCATTAACGTAACGTAGTGTAACATAGCAGTGTTTCATACAGTGAATCCTGTTGATTGTGGCCGAACTTTGCAGCTCAAATGTCTCACATTGGCGTAAACACAAATATTCTAGACATATTGTCAAATATAACTGATATATTTTCATATGGTTTTCATATGTCTCTTTGCACCCCACTAGCTTAGCTGTGGTTTACATCGAGTCCAGATAATAGAACTTGCAGAAATAAAAAACATATTTGTGTCTTTAATTGGACCTGACTGCTCTGTCAAAGCGAGCACAGGTTCAGCTTAATTGCAGCTCAGAATAGGTGTCAGAGTACCTCATCATCTGTGGGAGGCCTCACCAAAATAGACACCACCTATCCAGATTCCCTACATTAAGCGCACAGCTCTCCCGTTGGACGTAGCACTTGACCCAACTGCATCCTGCCCCAAACGTGTCTTGCCCCAAACATATTGTTTCAACAGGAAATGCATAAAGTAATGCAGGAAGTAAGAGGGGTCATGGGGGAGTAGTGCAGAGGGGGATAGTGCAGCTGTACTATTGGACAATGGACGGTTCCTTTGGTTGGCACAGCTTGACTGGATAGCTGGATATGTGGTGTCACTCTCCTCCAGACTTTTGAAGTGTTTAACCTCCCTTAATCATCATGTAGCACACTGGGAGTCTGAAGGCTTACATAACACAGCAATGGAATTATGAATGTTATCGTCATTGTATCAGCGTTGCTGCACTGTTCCTGGTGTTATTGTGAAATATTGAGTACCCCAAACCTTTATGTTAGAAGTGTACAGTATGGGTCCCCAACATTTAGAAACTGCTG